TCCTGACGATCTGCCACACTCACTCCACCTCACAGTTCACATGGCAGTTACGAGTGGATTTATTCATCCTCCTTCCACGAATATGACCATCCCTTGTCCGAGGTGAGCACCATCAGCCTGAGACGTGCTGCAACGAAGTGCTCCACACTGTTATCCTTTTCGAGAGTTCGGCCAACTGCCCTGTACGTCCATGACTGCGGTGGTTTCCCCTCCCTCACCTCCATTCCCGTCCCCTCGCCGCCAACAACCTTCACGACATGATGCCACCTCGCATTGTACAAAGACTCGTACACTCCCTCCAGGTATATCGGTGCGCTCGACTTCTTTGGGTTCCTCGCTTCCTCGGCGGCTGCATCCAAGAACCTTTTAGTGACTCCATGAACATTTGCTTTTACCTCCGCAGCAGCCACCAACCAATTCAGTAGATTGTGCACACAGTTTTTGTAAAGTTTGCTTATATCTTCCTCCATATCCATTTCATCCCTTACAGCCCTCTCCATCCTCACTTAATGATCTGATGCCTTTATTTCGTTCAGTACTCCCGCATCGTGAATATACTTCGTGGGATCATTAAAACACGCCTCCAACAAGACATCCCGATTGGCGTCCAAAACGCCTCTGCCGTCCAATTCCATCGTAAGAAAATCATTCAGCTTCATGTTGGTGCTGCCAGTGTTTCCCTCCAGCAGGATGTCCTTTACGGTGCTGCTCATGGTCCACTGCAGTCGCTGCCTTTCCTCCACTCTTGTGTGGGTCGCAGCGGGTTGATCTGTCTCACCCTCAGACTCCGGCCTCGCTCTCCTCCAACTATCTCCCTGCGGCACAGCAGACGCTTGATTTCCAGGCATTGATTCCTTCTGTTCTTTTTAGTTGGATTCAGTTAAGGCTCAACAATAACCACCAAACGAGAGGGGAATAAGAGAGATGAAAAAATAGGCACAGAAATGACTGACAACCACAACATGAGTATCATCCACACGGTGTGCGATACCAAGTGCACGAGGACCAACACAACGACGGCGCGCGGGTGCCATCCACCCAGAACAGTGTTGGAGAGGGCAAACAATAATAACAACATGGTGTGCACGGAGGGTTCGTCCACGCACTCCGCTAGCTACGGTCCCGCACCCGTGTGGCACCGCCGACACCGCACACACTTGACAAAAGGACGTGCGGGCATATCACCCCTAACACAAGTGGAAGGAGAATTCGGTGCAGCAGCGGCCACACGCAAGGACAAAAAATCATACACGCCACAACAGCGGCGCATCGTGGTAGGCTCTCACAGAAGGAAAATATATGTATATATGTATATATGTATATATATGTATGGAAAATTTCTGCAATTCGCACAGCACAAAAGATTGTCATGACGTTGCCTTTCTTATTGCATTCGCCATTCATATTCCCAATGCGTAACCCTGCTGATATCACCCCTCCATGGTGAAAACGGCTGCCTTGTTGTGGTGTCACCGCGCAGCCATCCACCTGGGTGGGAAAAAGAAAAAAATCAGGCGTCCGTCCATATGGAATGAGGAGGAACTCTACCGCAGTTTCTTCCACGACGCAAACACTCCGCGGCCAGTGCCCGGTGTCGTGTGCGGACGCCGCGAGGAGGGTTGTGGGCAAACCGCTGTGCCACACGGAGCGCCCCCTCGGAACGCAACAGCAGACGTGTCCCCTTCCGGTCGCACTCGTGGCGGTGGCGGCATCCGCTGCCTCGCTGCGTGCTGGTGGCGTCGGTTACGATGCTGCAGTGTGATAGAGGGTGCCCGACAGGAGCGGTGCTGGGCTGGGTGGGCAGTGCCCTCCGCGGCGAGACGCCCAGCGCGACTCTCGACCGCTGCACTCACGCATTTCCCTCCACGCCTCTCCCTCCATCCGGCAATCGCACAGCCGCCGGCACATTTTCCCCGAAACAACACACACGTGAAGGCGTCGTAGCATATTTCCCGAGAGATCAAAATGACAGCCACACGCTGCAGCCATCGTGCCGACAAGTCCGGCGCGGATGCACCATCACGCGCATTCTTCTGTAAATGTCGGTGCTTTGAATGAATACAAAAAAAAAATTTTTGAACGCGCAAAAGGTAACAGCTGTTGCAAAGAACCTTCCGTAATCGCCTCAATGCCTCGATCATAGTTTAAGGGATGAGCAAAGCACGTGGAGTCAACGGCCGAATACAAAAGTCATGTACAGCCAAAAAAAATAGGCCTGAAAGCTCATGTGCTCAAAAAAAAAAAAAAAAAAGCAAACCATAAATGTAAGTCCAAATAAAATGCACGGCACCATCAAAGGAGTATTCGCGTTACGTATTGTCATTGGTCTCCCACGAGCAGTAGTATCAATGACGGTGGCATCATGATCGCGGTATTCGCTGCATAGTGGAATGCCTGGTGGCGCGGAGCAAATATTCAATTCCTTTAATATTCCGGCACATCCATCCAAAATTAAATTAACACTACATTGTAAAATTAAGGGTCTTTCTCTAAACTAATGGGGACGCAGTATCTTAGCAGTGGAACTCTTCCACGCAAATGAGCGTAAAAAATAAACAAAAATAAAAATAGAAATAAATTTTGTATTTTATTCTCAGCGTAAACCAATAAGCACAAGAAGACGTCACAAAGTTGCACTCATCATGGCCTTTTAGTGTCCGCTATTTTACCTTCTCCCTCCATCTGGCGGTGCCCTTTCATCGTTTTTTCTCCCTTCTTCCGTTGGAGGGGCGCACTGCTGCTACTGCTACTATTTGGATTTTGATCGTGCCGGCACCGCCTGGCAAATTACTGCAGGCTTCAGTCAAAAAAAAAATAATAATAATAATAATAATAAATCTTTTTTTCTTCTTCTTTTTTTCGCGTCGCTTTCTTTGAGGGCGTTGCCGATACCTGCATCGTGGTACCGCTTTTACGGAGCCCTCGCCACCAACATCAATGCCGGTGAAAGAAGCGATAACGACAAGTGGCCAACAACAACAACAAAAAAAAAAAGGATCCTTCCAAGTCTCAGCAAATGGAAGATGACGCGATTAGAACAGCTGCTGCAATGTTAACTGTTCTCCCTTTTTAACGTGCTTATTTGTTTTTAGCACCCAAACACCCGGATCCTCGGAACGCCGTCGCTGACAATGCCTCGTGTACAATAAAGGAGATGCCCTTCGCAGAGTTTGAATGCCCTCCGCATCACACCGTTGCAAGACGAGATTCGCCTCCGTGGTGGCTTTAGAAAGTGTTGCATCAACTAAAGGCATCACCGAGAGAGAGGGACCGTCCTTTTGCAACTGTCTGCCATCTTTTGACAGCCGAACCGAGTGAGTCAAGGTGTATTCAGTCATTGACAAAAAGAGATCCAGTGGGGGTGTAAGACTGTGCTGGGACAGCAATTGAAAAAACTCCACCGCACGAATTCTGTCATCGCAACTAATTGAAGCCGAAGATATTTGCTGAAGTTGCCACTTTGACCACACAGATGCCCTTCGGTACACATTGAGGGCGAAGTAGAGAGCCAGACAAAAGACATCGCATAAGGCGTTGTTCGCCCCGGGCGAAAGAAGGGTGAGGCACACCTCCCGTGGAGGCATCAGCCCCTCCACATCGTCATCGTGCAGAGCACCGACTGTCCAAACAGCCGTGTCTGGTATGGTTGCCAAAGGAGAGAAGGGCAGAAGATCCGTAGATGTGCTGAGCGAAAGAAATGGCGGAACACCATGAGACGGTTGGGACCGTAGGCAGGGATGAGTACCTACACCAAGAGGTCTCAAGTAACGTAAACACTTGTCTTCATCTTTAGCCATGTAAAGTACCCGGCCAATTCGATGAGAACGACGTCTATTCATCGAGAATCATTTCACCTAAAGTCAATATTGATGTGTATATGTATAAACATGTATGTGGAATAAATAAAAATAAAAACCCGTAAGAAAATAAAACAAGTAAAGATGCACATAGACAAAAGGAAAAAAAAAAAAAAAAACAGCAAACAGAGTGAAGATAACCTCTATTCTCGTATTCTTTTAAATAAATAAAAACACGTGAAGAATGGAAACCTATACCTAATCTTGTGCATATATATATACTTATTTATTTACTCGATGTGTTAATGCTGGCCAATAAAATCTAATGAAAGTCGTGTGCTTATGCCCATGCCTTGAAGCTCCTGTAGAAGCAGCTTGAACGCATAGGGAACGTTTACATGTGACACTGTGTTCTTTGTATTACAGTACGGACAGTAACCACAGTACCCCAGAAATCCACACGAGCGGCATGTATCCACGGTAAAAAGATCGGAGCTAAGAAGTAGCCGTTCGTTCAATAGATTTGAAGCACCATAACCAACCATGCAATCTCGTTCCATTTCGCCCACGCGAAGACCACCACTGCGAGATCTACCCTCCGTCGGTTGTCTAGTCAACATTGAACGTGGCCCGGTGGCACGAGCATGCATCTTATCTGTGACCATGTGTTTGAGACGTTGGTAGTAAATAGGGCCAAAAAACACATAGGCCTGCATGATCTCTCCCGTAATGCCGGAGTAAAATGCATCCTTCCCATGGTAGTTAAAGCCGTTTCGTAGCAGGTGCATGCCCAAATCCTCCGCATTGTCTCCGCCAAACGCTGTACCATCTCCAAATGTTCCCGTAAGAGCGCTAACCTTTGAACTAACCAACTCCAGGAGCTTACCGACTGTCATTCGACTCGGGAACCCATGGGGGTTCATGATCATATCGGGGCTTATGCCCTTTTCATTGAAGGGCATGTTGACTCCATCTGTGATAAGACCAACTACACCCTTCTGGCCGTGCCGTGACGAAAATTTATCGCCCGGCTCCGGTACACGAACCTCCCTTGTGATCACCTTAATTTTCTGCTCCACATCCATCGAGCGTTCGGAGTCACCGGGAGGCAAAATAACCACATGGTCCACGACGGCGGGCTGGGGATACTTGTACACAAGAGGATTGGGTCGGGGCTCCAAGGATGCCACCGGTGTATACTTGTTAACTAGAATGTCAAATTGGCGCACAATAGCCCCTTTGCTGGCGATGCCATCACTGTTAAGCGCCTTGCATTTGCCAGCATTGGAATCAGGGGGAAGAATGATTTCGTATTCCCCATTTGGAAGCCGTTCCAAATCCACCTCGTGCTTTCGAAGAACGACGCATCGACCATAACCACGATCGAGTGAGCAGCGGTTGTACACCTGAGCGTCCTCAATGTCATATCCACTGTAGCTCATGACACACACCATCGCATTGATACCAGCCCCCAGTTTCTCGTAGTGGGTAAGGTCCATGGCCTTTGTCCGGCAAAGGGGTCGCTGAGGGTAGGCACCAAGCATCAGAACAGTATCCGTGCGAATGTACTGGTTGTACGCAATCGTGCCCAAAGCCTGTTTGCCCATCGCCGACTGAAAAGTGTTTCTGGCCGACTGATTATGATGCGGAAAGGGTATAATCCCAGCAACGACGCCCAGTAGAGAAAGCGGCTCCACCTCCAGGTGCGTTGTGTATGTTTCAATGTCCCTGGGGTAGACAGCGATAAGACAGTCATTGGCCTCATTCACGTCGATAAATTCCACCAATCCCTCAGCCAAAAAGTCATTGATGGAGTATTGCCCAGCAGAAAGCTGGTCCAGATGGGCGGAGGTGACGGCAGGCTTCGCGTGGTTTACCACAATGTATAATCGGACAATTCTCCCCCCATCACACCCAATTTGCACACTCTTCTGACGATCGTTGATGGCAATCGAAACATGTGGATGCAGCCGTCCAGATCTTCGCAACGCACGCACCCCTCTGCAAAGACGGTTGGGGTAGCGGTGGATGCCAATCAGCGTTCCATTCAAAAAGACCGTGTAATAATTCAAAAACTCCCTGGAACTGATGGAATCCACCTCCTCCACACCCAAGTTATGTGCTGCCGCCCGAACAAAAGAATCATCCATGTCCAACGTCACTTGGCTCAATATGCCAAAGTTCTTAACAAGACCGCAACTTTCCCCCTCGGGCGTGTCACATGGACAAACCATTCCCCACTGACTCGGCTGCAATGAACGTGGCCCACTAATCTTGCGACTCTTTTCAAAGGAAGAGGCGAGACGAGTCATCATACCAATGCATGCAATATAAGACAGTCGCGAGAGCACCTGAGTGATGCCTTGACGGCTCATGTTGAACCGCTTCAGCTCCCACCGGCCACTGCTCAACGCCACCCGCATCCCGCTCTGAATAACCTCCAATTTACTCTCCATGAGCTGCTTTACGTTAAAAGCTTTTGTCGTGTCCTTCTTGGACAGTTGCTGATCCATCGCCGTCTTCACCACACGATTAAATTGCTTCAAGAGATCCTCAAACAGGAGACCCATCAGTGTACCAGTTGTTTCAAACCGCTTATTACCATAAAAGTCTCGTTCGTCAAGCAGGGAGGAATCCACACTTGCTTCAATCATGCGTCGCACCATAAAACACACGTAAAGGGCCTTGTGGCGAAAGTTCCAGTCACGCTGCACCTGTCCCTCCCGGATGTGGCACAAGAGAACATTCCCAAGAAACTCCGCCGCATTGTCTGCCTTGGACTTCTGAATGTGTCTCTGCTGCGCGTCATCCACCTCCCACGAGGTCTCCTTACGTCTTTCACCAATGAAATGCAGCGCATCGTCCTGAGTCTTCACTCCCAAAGCAGCAGCCTGCTCAAAACAGGCGAATAAGACACTTTCAAAGGCAGGCGTCGTGCCAATGTGCTGCGCAATCTGTTGATCGCTTTCCATCCCAAGAGCCTTCAGCATCACCACGATGGGAATGTCTTCCTTGAACGATCGATGCACCATTACAATCCGCCCCTTCTTAAATGTCACGGAACATTTTGAAATGGAATAGTGCGTCTTGCTCTGAACATGAGCCACAATATTGCCGTTGTCATCCGCTTCAATAATGACACGATTCTTGCTCTGCTGCTCTTGTACCAAGCATACCTTTTCCACTCCTTTGATAATGAAGTAACCGCCTGGGTCAAGAGGACACTCCCGCATCGCGACCAGCTCCTCACGAGTCCTTCCAAACAGATTACATGAACTCGACTTCAGCATGATGGGAATTGTCCCAATTTTAATATCGGTCTCCGTGCACGGCCGTTTGTTGCGGTCACGACTTGTATACTCCACATCCACAATCATATCCCCACGATAGGTGAGATCGCGGGTCCTGCATTCGTGTGGAGAAACGGCCTTTGGCAACTGCCCCTTCCCCACAATCTCCCTCGGTTGACAAACCCGGATATTTGTGTATCGAATGGAGAAGTCCGGGTCGATGCTGCTCTTAATCTCCCTGTTGGACTCATTCAAAAGAATCCTCTTCAACTCCACGTTTATTAAGTGGTCAAATGAGGCAATGTGGTGGTTCAAAAGTCCCTTCATTCCGATAAGCGCTGGCAGGAGCGCCAATTTCCGCGTGTTGTACGCGGCATCGTCACTGCCTTGAGTGGGCAAAGGCATCTCCCAAGAAAGTGATTTCCCAAAAGGAAACCAAAAAAAAAAACACTAAAAAAGTGAAATTTGGACTGTGAAGGGGTGGGGATCGCACTAAAGAAGGAGAAGAAAAAAAAAAAAAAAAAGATGTAAACAACAGCAGACACACAAAAAAAAAAAAAAAAAAAAACCACGCACATCGCAACACACACAGACGGTATAGAAAAAAAAAAAATGAAAATATATATACATACAGCAATTGAAAGTTGACAACAGCAACAAGACCTGGCGTTCAGTAAAGGCGGTAAAATTAATACAAGCACTTCATCGCCATCTTATTCGGAGCAGACATGAAGACGGTATTCCTCCATGATCTGTGTTGCGGCCGCCTCAAAGGTCGTTGAGGCGTAACCCATCGCAGACACATCCATCACAAACAAACTGAAGTCACGAATGTAGCGAATACGTGCAGGAAGAAAAGCCGGAGTTGCTGCAATGATAAGAGCACACAAAAAAGAAATGCAGTTATCCGCTGTGGAGTCCGCATGGCAGCCATACCTGGTAAGGGCCTCCATTAAAAGCCCAAGCGTACACTCCATAGCTCGCATAAATGACAACACACTAAGCGACGTGGCATCCAGCACTCGTATCAGCTCAATCTCAGCTAAGAAACTACTCACCGGAAGCTTCTCAAGTAACGACGGAAGAAAATGCTGAAATGGGTACACTTGCTTCAGCTTATTGCACGCATGACTAAAGGCAACGTTTTCCCTATTCATCAATTCATCCCAGTGGGGTACCAATTTATGGCTCAACGCACCCGTCACAACAGCATGGAAGGCCACCAACACGTCCTCCTTCTCCCTTTCTAAATCCACAAAGAAACTGCTCACGGCGTCAGCACCCGCAGTGGAAATTTGAAGAACCTTCGCGACGATCAGCGGCTCATAGCCAAGCATGCACACATAAGAGCTGGACATAATTCCCACCTCCGTCTCAACGAACAAAAAGGCGTCATCCAACTGCTTCTGCAATTCCATGCCTTCACAACCGGCATCCTTCTTCTGGAGGGGAATCCCCTCCAAAAAAGTCCGCAGCACATTCTCATCGTTTTTGAATTGTTGAAGGAGTGAGACCTCACCGGAGAAGTTGGGCTTCTGAAGTCTTGACCAAACATAATTCTGACCGCCGTTTATAGACATGAATGGGGACGCCGAAACAGACACTGCCGCTTCACCCTCTAAAAGTGCGCCTGAAACAAACAACAGACAAAAATTTCCGCTTGTCCCGTAATTCTCACTCCCTCGAATTCCCAATTGGAAAGAAGGCCTCCCAGGACGCAACAAAGATACAAATCCAAGAAATGGCGCATCTGTAGCCTCTTCACCATGGCATAACGTAAACTCGATGCGTACAGCATCTCCAGTAAAAGTAAACATTTCATCAAAGCTACTACCGTGTAGTAAATGTCGTCGCACAACACTTTGTGATACTCGGCGAATAATACGCTGCCTAGATCCTCTGGTTCTCATGGAAAATCCCGTCACAAATCGTTCCACATCATGGTTTGGTGGAATAAGAAGAACGTATTGTTTTCCCTCATAGGAGCTACTCGCAATAAGTGTGAGCAATGAGTTCATATGACCCACCAGCTCACAAAAAAGAATGGACTGCTCTCGTTCCTCATTAAAGGAGTGCGTCGATCCATTTGACATGTATTCATCACCTAATATAGATTATAAATAATATAATGTACGTCAATAAACAAGAAAAGAATGTTGGCAAACAAAAAAAAAAAGAAACGAAAACCAACAAATAAATAAAATAAATAAATATAATATAATATAATCAAATAGCGCAGAGTAACATCAATTGTCCATAACACATAAGCCACTTAAAAAAAACTATTATGCTCAATCTTGGACCTTCCTCTCCCTCTCCCATTTCCTCGTAAGAGCGTCAGCATCTGCAGCTTTACCTTTAGTTGATCCCGAAGAGACTCCAACTCGTCATTCTTCTCCCGTTGACGCCGAATTGCGCTCACACAACAGTCGCTGTCATTTTTATCCTCCGCTCTTAACTTCGTATCCCGGTCGCCAAAATCACCACCCCCGTCCGACTCACGACAGCGACGTCGTGGCCCCGCAGCCACAGGCTTCTTCTCTGCGGCAGCGCCTTCATACGGCAGAGAGGAAATGATGTAGTCCGTGGTGGACGGGTCAAGTGGATGCTTCATGAGGCCGACGCAAGGCCAAAGGACAGCCGTCAAGCTGTCTCTAGGAACATAACACATGCTCAACACACCACCGGGAAAACGGGGAAATGCCTCGCTGTGCACCGCTTGTGTAGAGATACTCCACCACAGCAGAGCCCCGTTTTCACTTCCCACAATGGCGTATCCAAGCCGCGCTGGATCAAACCAAATGAACAGAATAGCACCACTGTGCCCATCGCCAAAGGATTTGCGTTCTATAACACTTTCATTGCGCCCATGCAGACTAATTGGGAGGTTTTGTTCCGACGCATTGCCATAAAAATCAACAAAAAACAATGATCCTTTCGCGGAGCCAATAAGAAGCATCTCATCTCCCGGTGAAGGACGTACTGTCGTGGGTGCGTCATCCAAAGTAATTACAAGTTGCTGTTGGCCCGTTAAGGCATTAAATATGCGACAGGTACGATCGGCCGACCCTGTCACAACCATAAACCCGCTTTCCATAAAGGAACAGGTATTCACCGCCAAGGTGTGCCCATGGAAGAAGGAGCATGGAGCCACTGTCTTGGAACCCCGAGCCACCAAGCTAACTAGTGACCAGGTCTTGCACACAGAATCCTCAGAAGCTGTAACAAGTAAGGACTGATCAGAAGAGATGGTGATTTCCGTGACACAGCGTCTATGTGCCCTTACAAGATGATAAAGCTGCCCCGTGAGTGTGTTCCACACGTATATATTTCCCTCTGCTGTTCCACCAATAAGAAATACACCGTCAGCGGTGCATGCGGAGCACATGATAGGTTCCATCGTGAAGCTCCTTTGCACTGGCTGCTGTGTATGGGGTGAAAAGAAGGAAGTACAACCTCGCGACTGGTGCGCAATAACAGTCTTTAAAGACGCACAGTACGTCAGTCCCCGTCTTTCAATGTGTGTTGTTGCGCATGTCCTCTGTACGGCCTTCGTCTCCAAGTCAATTAGCCTCGACTTGCCCTCTGAGGCAACAAACAACATTATTGATAAGCGGCTACAAAAAAAAAAAAAAAAAAAGAGAGAATTTAAAAAAAACGTACGGTCACTCACACGCAACCTTAACGAATGCATTTCCGTCATTTACCACCCACCCACACCCCTTTTCATGGGCTCATGAAGTACCGTACACAAAGAGAAAAAGCACCACATATGTGGACAACCATACAGCACGTTGAAAAACGTAATTCCATTCCTTCTACCTTTCTTTCTTTTTTGTTTTTGTTTTTCTGTTTATGTTTTTTTTTTTTTTTTGTGTGTGTGTGTCTTCGGTATTGCCGTGCGTGGGAGTTTTACTGTCATTTTCATTTATTTCATGTTCCCTTCACGTGCGTTTCGTGTACATGGAAAAAGGACCCTCCGTGTCACACCATTCCACACTCTTCGTCTGCCACTTAAAGTCCGTCATGGCAAACATCTCGAATGCATCCGGATCCCGGAACTTCGCCACCGACCTGCCATGCGGGTACAGGTCCTCTAAACACAGCACACGACTTCCCTTCGGGAGCAGACGAAATCGCTCGGAGAGGTAGTGGTTCACAGGCCCCGGCATGAGGAGGTTGGCCGCCCAAATCACTGGAGATGACCCAAAGAACTTCTCATCCCGCATGAGGGAACAAAAATCCGCGCAAATAATTTCAACCTCCACCGGCTCCCCGCGTCGCGCCTCAATCATTGGCCGAAGACGGCGCCATGCATCCTGCGCAACAGTTGCATTTCGCTCATTAATCTCCACACCAACGCAACGAGCCCCCGTCAGCAACGCAACCTGAAAGAGAACACTTCCATTTCCACAGCCCAAATCGTAGAACGTGTCCTGCGAGGAGATCTTCGCAACTCTCACGATTCGGGCAACAAACGGAGGAAGAATAGACTTGGCGCACCGTTCCCTCTTCCGATACGTCATCACTTGCCTTCTTGTTGGCAAAGACCCATAACAAACTGCCAACAGCTCCGTTATCCAGAGGCATTCACAGCAATCCTCAACGCAGTGGTAACATCCACTCCTATTCGGGATCTCTCGCAGGGAAAGTACAAAAGGGTCCTTCGACGTACCGCTACCCTCCTCAGAGCGCTCACCGACAACAGAGCGCGGAAGTTTGCGTCGGGAGGAGCTTCCACCACGCACATCGCGCTGAAAATGCCTCAACATCCCACTCTCCCCTAAAGAAAAAAAAAAAAAAAAAAAGGTAGAAAAGAAGCAAATGGCAGGCCACAATTGGAGGGAGAAGGGGTTAGGGGTGGAAGGTGGCTGTCACATATTGCACGTGAACCCACAAATCGCCCGCAGCGCACCGCCGCAGAGTTCGATAAAATATAAAAATAAATAAATAAAAATAAAAAAAGAAAAGAAAAAGTTTTATTCTAACGCAAAAAAAAAAAAAGCGCGAAGTCCCAACCCGATCCCTGCGGCCACCCAGCTCTTACATTGTGCGAAAAGCCCCGCCGCCTACACAGAATTTCATAAAATTAGAAAAAAAAAAAAGAAATTTATTTCCTTTTTATTATACTGGCATATACCCCAGTAATATGAACGACGGAAACAAAAAAGAACAACAAAAAAAGAAAAAAAAAAAAAATTTTTTTAACCCCACCGCCGCCCTTCCGCCCGCCACCACCGCCCTCGTTTTAATTAACACTGTTTTATGGGGAACGGTAGCAACTGTGGGAGAGCAGAAAAACGGGAGTCAAATTAGGGCGGCCTCCGGAACCAACACGCAACAGAAGCAGTCGGTGCAGAGATCCCCCCCCTCCGCCTGCCTGCCTTCCCCGCCTGGTTAAAATCTATTGGCGCCGCGCTACAACAAAAGAAAAAAAAAAAACAGCGACCGTTCACCCCAGCAACAAACGCAAACGTCAAAGAACGCCAACAGAAAGATGCTACACGGCGGGGGAAGGAAAAGGGAAATAGGAAAAGGGGTTAGGGTAAAAATCCCGGACCGCTGACGGTACCCACACGCCCCGCCAGCAACTTCACAGTGGACCTTCAGCTACGGATCTGTATTCGTAATCAAGCACAGATTATACATACATGCATAAATGCATACGTATACATTGTATACATTATATATATATATATATATAATCATCCCCGCATATGTCACAAAAAGAAGAAAAAAGAAAACCCACATAAATAAATAACAGTAGTAGTAGTAGTAAAGATAATAAAGATAATAATGACGCCCATTACTCCCCGCAACCACATCTTAAAGTCCAAGACAGCCGTAAGTACAAAATCAATAATAATAATAATAAAATTGGTCTGTTGTTAATGGGGGGCAAAATCACTCAGCTACGTATTAAGAAAACACACATCCATTTAAAACAAAATACAAAATCCTAAAGACAAAATAAATAAATAAATAAAATAAAATAAAATAAAGCATCAAATTCTTTTTAAAAGAAAAAAAAAAGGGTAGAAAATGCCTAAAATATATATATATATATATATATTTGCTACAAAATAAAATAAACCTAAATCACTCCCCTAAATGGCCCGACTTGGTGCGTAGATTCCCTGTGCAAAAAAGAGTGCAGAGATCAGGCCACAGACGACAAGAGTCAGCATCCAGCCGGCGTAGAGCTTCGCAACAATGATCCAGCGCACATTCCAGAAGCCAACGTCAACAATGCTGATTGCAATCACGGCGCCAGTGATGCAGTGCGTCGAGGAGATCGGCACGCCGTAGCCGGAGGCAAACGAAACAACCATCGCAGTAGAGAGCTCTGCAGAGAAGCCTCGGCTCGGGGTGATCTTCGTGATGCGCTCGCCGAGTAAACTCATTATCCTCACACCAAGCGTCGCAAGACCAAGCACGAGACCGCTGCCACCAATGCACAAAATCCAGATTGGCGTCTCGTTCTTCGACTCCACCACCCGCGTCTGGTAGATGGAGTAGATGGCAGCGAACGGCCCCACCGCATTGCTCACATCGCTCGCACCATGCGCAAAGGATGCACATATGGCCGTGAAAACCTGCAGGTAACGGAACACGTACTCCACGCGCTTGTCGAACAGCTGCGCAGTAACTGTCGGCAAAGCAGCCGTCCCTCGGTGCTCGCTCTCCGAGCTCTTCTCCGCATCGCCCACAAACGTCCCTGTGATGGGCTCAATGAACTTCTTGTCCACCTTTTCCTCAGACTGCGCCGTGCTCGACGAAGTTATATTTCCGCACGCGGTGCCGTCAGCAGCAGGAGCACACTCAACCTTTTCCGCAGAGGGATCAGCCTCAGCCCCTTGCCCCAGCTCAGCGGCACCGCAGCCCAATTCCTCCGCCTGGCGCTCTGCCCTCTCCACCATCAATCTCACACGGCGCTTCAGCAGGGGAATAAGGGCGATCGAGGCAATGCCGGCGCCAACGCCAATGATGGCGGCAACCCACAGGGCCTTCTCCACTGGCCAGTGAAGACGCGACTTGGCGCCCTTGAACAGCACAAAGAAGGACTCCAGGAAGAACGCCACACCGAAGATGACCGGAACAGAGTACAGTGCCCGCTGAACCGAGTTCGCCGGACGGAGCACCAGCGTGCGGATGAGGCCGTACACAGTCGCAGCGGCAAGACCAGTAAGCAGCGGCGAGATAAACCACGACGTAATGATCGGCACCACGCCCGTCACGAAGGGAAATTCGTTCTTCTTCTTCGCCCACGAGACACTGTTGGCGCCACCGTACACAAGCGAAAAGCCAATGATGCCTCCCGCAATGCTGTGCGTCGACGAGACGGGAAGGGTCAAGGCAGTCGCAAGTAGCAACCACGCGAAGGCAGCACCAAGCGCGCACAGCATGCCGTACATCAAAACGTAGGGTTCGCTTGCAAAGTGCGACGAGTCGGCGATGCCGCCGGCGATCGTGGAGGTCACCTCGCCACCAAGAGACACGGCGCCAGCAAACTCACAGATTGAAGCAACAAGAACAATCTGCTTCAGCGTCAGCACGCGGGAGCCATACGTCGTGCCAAAGGCGTTGGCCAGGTCGTTCATTCCCACGCCGCATCCGGTAAGGAAGGCGACAATGCCGCCAACAACGGTGATCCACAGGTAAGGGTTGGTCATCGGCAAATGTTCCTATTATTTCTTCTGCTCGATGGGAAGTGGGTTTTTTAAAGGGCTTGTGGGAGTTTGCAAAAGAGCCTAGCACGATCTGTGGGGAGAACAAGAAAAAAGGGCGAGAGAAGAAGAGTGCGCAAACAAACAAGTGGCGAGATGCCGGAGTTGCCAAGTGCCACTCCTCCCAGCATCGTGTCGTTGCTTCTTAGACCACTGTGAGGAAACACTTTAAGAGAGTGTGTTTGCGTGAAACCCTCGTAAAAACGGGTATTTGCACAAAGTGATGTTTCTCCGGTGGCAACCTTTCCTTTGCGTTCAGCTACACACTTAGAGTGCCGGCTGCACGGAGATGCATACTCCATGGGGCATAGCTGCGGATTATGTGGGCTCCCGACACATTCTCACGTGCCCTTTACTTTTGAGTGATTACACAAAAGAGAAGTGGTGCGGGCGCAAAAAAAAACAAAACAAAAAACAACCATCAAATTTGTACCACGACGCCTATAGTCTCGGTTGCTTTTGTTTCCCACAACAGGTGCGGGCACACAGCTTCCCCACAAGTAACCTTGTTCTCATCTATGAAGCTGACGACGCCCGACACATACACACACAACAAAAAAAAACCGCATAACGGCAATAAATTCCATTCGTTGCGTCACGACGGCATCACGCAGCCTCCCAATAAACCCTCAGAGCGAGTTCAGCACTTTAAAAAAATTTGTTTTATTCCCTAATATGTCGATTCTCCTACGAAGCAACAAGGAGCGGTCGTCGTGCGGTGTCCCCGCTGCCCCTTCGCAGAAACAATCTTTATTACAAAAAAAAAAAAAAAACACCCACCCCCCACACTCACAATGCACCGCAGACGACAACGCGTAAACACGGTTGCCCACACAGCGCCAGTGTCGTGTGACTGATGCTACAAAACAGGAGATGTTCGGGAAGCCGCAACAAAAACACAACACATCCCGTTTTTCAGTCCTCTCCCGGTTACAAAGCCTGCTACGGCAGAAAAAAAAAAAAAAAAAAGATTTATTAAAAACAGAATGGCGACGATGTTCAGTGCTCCACTCTATAGCATACGCATATATATATATATATATATATATATATATATACGCAGGGCAATATGCCACTTATTCCTTATTGCCCTTCTATTACAAAGCACAAGCCACTTATTCCTACAATAAACTTACGTCAAATATTTCCTGAGAAAAAATTTTTTTTTAAATAATTTGCCTGCCTCCAGCCACACTGCGAACACAAAAGGCTCCAAACAAATAAATTGCAAAAAAGTTCTATTCACGTGGCCCGACTTGGTGCGTAGATTCCCTGTGCAAAAAAGAGTGCAGAGATCAAGCCACAGACGACAAGAGTCAGCATCCAGCCGGCGTAGAGCTTCGCAACAATGATCCAGCGCACATTCCAGAAGCCAACGTCAACAATGCTGATTGCAATCACGGCGCCAGTGATGCAGTGCGTCGAGGAGATCGGCACGCCGTAGCCGGAGGCAAACGAAACAACCATCGCAGTAGAGAGCTCTGCAGAGAAGCCTCGGCTCGGGGTGATCTTCGTGATGCGCTCGCCGAGTAAACTCATGATCCTCACACCAAGCGTCGCAAGACCAAGCACGAGACCGCTGCCACCAATGCACAAAATCCAGATTGGCGTCTCGTTCTTCGACTCCACCACCCGCGTCTGGTAGATGGAGTAGATGGCAGCGAACGGCCCCACCGCATTGCTCACATCGCTCGCACCATGCGCAAAGGATGCACATATGGCCGTGAAAACCTGCAGGTAACGGAACACGTACTCCACGCGCTTGTCAAACAGCTGCGCAGTAACTGTCGGCAAAGCAGCCGTCCCTCGGTGCTCGCTCTCCGAGCTCTTCTCCGCATCGCCCACAAACGCCCCTGTAATGGGCTCAATGAACTTCTTGTCCACCTTTTCCTCAGACTGCGCCGTGCTCGACGAAGTTATATTTCCGCACGCGGTGCCGTCAGCAGCAGGAGCACACTCAACCTTTTCCGCAGAGGGATCAGCCTCAGCCCCTTGCCCCAGCTCAGCGGCACCGCAGCCCAATTCCTCCGCCTGGCGCTCTGCCC